CCTCTCTACCTCTCTACCTCTCTACCTCTCTACCTCTCTACCTCTCTACCTCTCTACCTCTCTACCTCTCTACCTCTCTAGATTGAATACTAGCTGAGGTGTAATATGTGTTAAGTTTTTTAATTAACATATATGCGTGAGATTTATTAACATATATGTGTCAGGTTTATTAACATATATGCGTCAGGTTTATTAACATATATGTGTCAGGTTTAATATATGCGTCAGGTTTAATCAAAAACATTTTTGACAAATATACAGCCTGTTCAGATTTTAGGAAACAGTCACTTTAAAATATTAAAATGCTAACCTTTTCTAAAAGCAAGAGATATAAAAACAATATCCCTACTCGCCTTGGCAATTCTAACCTTTCGCTTTACGTCGAGGAATTTTGCAGCAACAGGCTTTATGTCAGATTTTATACCCCCCCCTCCCTCCGGCCCCTGAGGAAGTGATTTTCCACCGATGGGAAAAAGAGTAATTTTAAAAGCCCTTCGGTTTTGTATACCCCCCGCCCCAAACAAAAATTGACAAAATAAAATGATGAGATTAAAATATATACTACCCAAAACACTAACTTTATTTAGTAGATAAATAAACGTTAATGTAATTTCAACTCATTTTCTATTAATATGCACACTCTTTAAACCTTTACTTGGTCATTAACGACGGTGAAATCCGTGTGTTTATCTCTTAGAATGTTGTTCAAGCTACAGGAAAACTTTGGAATATACGCTAGCGTACATTGTGATCACAGCTGACTACATATATTTCTCGAAAATCAAAAACATTCTATGTGCATTGTTGAATGAAAATATTCTGCTAATTTAAGAAAGTGAATATTAAACGTTGTTTTGAACAGCCTGCAACCAAAGTTATCACCAAATACAAGTTTAGAACAGCTTGCAACCAAAGTTATCACCAAATACAAGTTCAGAACAGCTTGCAACCAAAGTTATCACCAAATACAAGTTTAGAACAGCTTGCAACCAAAGTTATCACCAAATACAAGTTTAGAACAGCTTGCAACCAAAGTTATCACCAAATACAAGTTCAGAACAGCTTGCAACCAAAGTTATCACCAAATACAAGTTTAGAACAGCTTGCAACCAAAGTTACCACCAAATACAAGTTTAGAACAACTTGCAACCAAAGTTATCACCAAATACAGTTTAGAACAGCTTGCAACTAATGTTATCACCAAATACAAGTTTAGAACAGCTTGCAACTAAAGTTATCACCAAATACAAGCGTTTCCGTAGACAAATAAGAAAAAATCCGTTATCCTTGATCAGTCATGGGCTTAATTAAAGAGTACTGTTGTGAATCAGACACGCCCCTTCACATATGATAAGTAACGCATACAGTCCCTTTAAATATCTAAAATGACATAAAATAACCACTTAAATGCATATGTCCCGAATTTTTGTTAAACTTAAATTTATTTAAGTTTATTAAATAAATTTATTAAACTGAACAGAGAGAATTACAATATATGCAACACAAAAATATGCAAATACAGTGAGTAATACAGTAATACTGGGGACTCTAGGAATGGCCATCGCTTAGAGACATTAAGGTTTTTTTTGACGTTGAAAGTGTTTTACAAAAATGCGAGTCATTAATTAAATTGCAAAATTGTATTCTCGAAAAGTTTACGTTTACATTAAGCGATTTATTTTCTCTGATCAAAGTTATTAACAAAAAGTTTTTTCGATACGAAACGAAAAACGATTTTCTACCCGTTATCAAAAATTGTTTTGTTTAGTATCTTTGGTCAGAATAAAATGGAATTTTGAAATAGGATTACAAAATAGATTCTCTGCGGAGCCTGGAAAAAGCCTAAAAACTTTTGATTTAAAAAAGGGCCTAAAACGATGCCCGTTAGTGCTGGGGGGGATGGGTAGATAGGAGGTAGTTATAATGCATGCAGGAGGATGGATAGAATTATTAAACTTTAAGCAAGGAATGATGAAATAATGTTGAAACAAAGATAAGGTCCCCATCAAAGAATTCAAAAAAAAAAAAACGAAAAAACGAAAAGATCCAACAAACCTTTGATTAAAATTAGATCTGATTTCTCCCGAAGGTTCCAATGTAAAAGATAAACCACAAGATCTTCTACCAAATCTGAAAACAAAATAATTTTTAATGAATATCGAAAATCAGCAACGTTCCTCAAATGATATTTCATGCAAATTTTAAAATAATTGTGATGAGGGGGGGGGGAGGGTTTATTTTTATGATGCTATGTCTCCAAGGGGAAAATAGATTTTTTTAAAGTGACAAACTTTATTCTTAACGATTTATTAGGCTGACTTTTTTTATATCTCATTATTATTCTTTTGTTGATTTTTTTTCAGCTTTTCAACTTTTTGGAACTTAATGCTTACTTTTTTATACTTTTTGGAACTTAATGCGTACTTTTTTATAAACATTTGTTTGGTATTATACATTTTTTATTGTGAACACCAAAATCACAATATTGCTGAGTGCAGATTCAGAAGCAAGATAGGTTTAAATATTATTTCTAAACATGCTGTAAAACAGTATAGGCTATTTCAAGATATTTTAAGAAGATTGGAGGATTCTGTTTTTAAATGGATCAGTTTATGCAAAAAAAAACACTTAATTATAGTTATTGGTGGATTTGACGAATCTTAAAAATGTTATCAATTTTGTATGCACGACAAAGTTTAATCTCACCAAATATTGCAATGCAATTTATAAAATGCATTATATGAAAGATAAGAAAAATATAGGACAATTTTTTCAATTATGACGTATTAAGTAACAGATTTTAACTAAAAAATATATGGTACATAAGACTTTTGAGTCTTGATATTGCAGTAGATGCCAAAGCCTAATTTTAGATTTGTTTTGTTTTGTTTTATCGATCATTAAAATAATTTGCTCAAAATTTCAATTCTTATGTTGCAAAATATACCCCATTTTTATTTTCAATTTCAAAGCAAATTATATTTGATGAAATGCGACAAAAACAATAATGAACAATTTCCTTTAATTGAAGGGGGGGGGGGGGTAAATGGATATAAAGTAAAAAGTGAGCGTGAGTAAAGCTAGCATAGACATTTCAGGTGGAATATTTTATGAACAAACTTGATATAGAAATTTGGTTAAACAAAGTATATGTTGTTTAAACTGAACACTGACCTTATCACGTCGACCGACTTGCATAGTAGCGTGGGTATAGGTTGGGGCGGAGGAGGAGGCGGAGTACAGTCCGCCAGGGAGTTTCCACTGTATATTGCTAAGTGGGATACACTAGGAGATTCTCCTGGAGAGAACTGTAGTTTACCGAGCTCCCTCCTGCTCCCGGCGTAGCTGGGTTGGAACCCTGTCTCCGCGGGGAACTGGAAAGATAGTCCTCGGAAGGTGAGAGTAAAGATTTGTTTCTCCGCATCATAAACTCCAGGTCTAGGGTAGACCACCAATATTAGATAAATAGAAATAAGTTTAAGGATAATATATTTATATTTCGGAACAGAGACTATTTGGACTTAATAATAAAATGCCAATATTCTGGGATATATGTTCAAGAAAATATTATTCGATTCTTTGGGGAGGCAATAAAAAGTAATTATCAAAAAGTTAGTTTCTTTTTCCACCTTTTAGAGACTTTTCGCCCAAAAATTTAATATATTTTTCCATCATCTGGGGGAAACAATTCTTTACAAAATTTGTGGGGGAATAATTTTTCAACCACAAAATTGAGCATAAAGGTAATATGAAGGGGGAAATATTAAAAAATAAATAAAACTATGCCCAAGTACCTTAAGGCTTAATCTATCTGATTTTCCTGAAAAGTCATTTTTCCCATTCTATGTTATGGTTTTTAGAAAAATTAAGATTTCTCAAAAATCTTGCAGGTTCAAGTCCATTTTATGCCCCAAGCTTAGAAAAGCATTTTCCCTCGCTTTAGATATCTTTGCAATCATTACATTTAATTTGGTACTTGGCAACCGGCCTGTTAACAATCAGCACTGATAGATATGATAGTTGTATTATATTGGTGTTTTCCTAGTAGCGCCGAATGACTGATCAACCTGCTCTATCGTAGGAGACACATCAGGACAGTTGAACAGTAGATCACTAAAAATACTAAAATGAAACCATGGAGCTCAAGATCCGGACCCCATATATTTTGGCTCTTTTCATCTTTTTATGTATTTAAGACAACAACATAAGGTCCAAGGGATAGACTATCATCCAAAATTATCAGAAAAAAAATAATTTAAAGGAACCGGATCATGGATCCTGAATGAAATTATTCTCTACTTTAATGCGGGAACAAAGTATGTATTTCCTTTATAACAAAGCAATTCTATTAAAATAATTATTAAACGAAATGACTAAGTTGATTTTAACAAACTTACCAGTATTTTAATCGAACTAAACTCAAATCATAAATTTCGATGATTTTTAATGTCTGTGTTAGAGAATCAAAGACGAGTTTGATTCCATCTCTTGTTAGTTTGATCGTCAAATCAAAACTTAACGGATCTTTATCGCAGTAGGAGATCTCAACACCTGAACATTTAACAATTCTTAAAATAAATTTACAGCCATTTTTGTCTTATAGTCCACCACCCCTAGTGAAGGGAATGGTTTGTTAACGGAAAGGTACAACAAATAATCAATTATTGGTTCAGTCCTAGTAGGGCTATATGACAGGCAACTTTTCTTCCTATCAACTTTATAAGAAATATGTAAAAATTAACAAAGTATCAAAAATATATCATTCTTATCGATAATATTTAAAAATATATGACAAGGTAAGGACAGGTAAGGGGGGCGACTCTGACAGGCTTAAGACAGGGTGTTGTGGGTTAGGACAGGCTAGTGGCCGGGCACTAAGGTCAACAATCAAACAATTGAGATGTATGTACTATGTAAAAACAAGATAGGAGGGGGATCGAAAATTATCGTAAAAGGAAATTAACTTCACAATCCTAAAGAAAGATTCCCCCCCCCCCCTTCATAAAAAATGTAAGTTATATATTTTGTATTTATTCATAGTAAGGTTTAGACAATTTCTAGGCCGATCGCTGAGGCTGTGGTAGGCTAAGGGGGCCGAGCGCCGAGGCGGGGTATGTATATTTTAAGAGAAAGGGGGAGGGGCAAAATTTCTTTAAGTATCTAAATCTCAGACAATTTAATTCTTGGTATATTCCTAGAGAACGATTTTTGGACCCCCCAGGCCCCCCCCCCTCCTATCAATTTTGTACATGGATCTTACAGAAAGTGTCTCAACTTAACCTAACCCGTGGCCGCAGCACTACGCCCTCTAGCCCATCCTAGCCGCAGCGCTCGGCCCCTTAACCCATCCTAGCCGCAGCGCTCGGCCCAGAAAGTGTCTTAACCTAACCTAACCCTAAATAATACTAAATAAATACTAATTTGGTCATGTACAATATTGATAGGGGGGGGGGGGTTCCAAAAATCGTTCACTAGGACAGACCCTAATTCTTTCTCACCTTTTATAGTTCCAACTTGGTTCTGAATGTAAGCTATAGCTGAACTGAAATGGGTTCCTAAACAATTTAAATATTTATAATTAGTTCAAATATATGTATTAAAATTAATGAATTTAATTAAATACATCCATTGCTAAAATGATTTTATCTCCAATGTAATTTTTTAATGAACAAAGACTTTTGTACTTTGCAACATAAACGTAAATAATTAATTTTCAAAATAAACAAAGAAAACTATAACTAATATTTTTATCAATTATCCATGAATTATATAGATAATAAGAAGAAATATCATTAAAAATGCCATGAAACATAGCAACCTTTTTGGTACAAATTTAATGTTGTAAATATTTTCCTAAATAATATTAATACTTGCCCAAAATAAACTCGATATTCTCGCTTGTAAGTCCATGTTCAGGAATAACTTCTAGTTCAAGCATTCTATTTTGTCCAAGCCGAACTCCTGAATCTCCTTAGTCCAGTAATTCACCAGACTTTTACTTTTTCTAGTCAAATATACCATTCCTTCTTGCACTCATAACTTCGCAGTTTGTCCTCTATTACGCCATTTTTGCTGTCTTTCTATACAACTAACTCAGGGTTACTAAAGCTAGGGATGTCCGAATAGGAGTTTGTGGTTCTAGTTCGAATAAAGGTAAACAAAGCTGATCAGCTGTTCGTCGGGTCTAGCCTAGCCAGCAACTGTCAGAAGCGCGCTGAGAACCTTTAAGGACTTTAAGCAAACTCTGAAACTTGTAGTAAATCCACGAAGACGACATTATCAGATTCCCGCGAAATTCAAATGTTTAAAAATAAAAGCTATTTTTAATAATCATTTCAAAGATTTCAAGCATTAATATTTCATTAATAAACATGAACGATCCTGGTTCTTCTTATGGTAGGAGTAGAGTTCTCCTGGTGGGAGTTGGGTTCTCTGAGTAGGAGTTTAGGGTACGTGAGGTACCCTACGTACTCCATCGGTGGGAGGAGTGGGAGTAGGGTTCTCCAGGTGTTAGTAAGGTTCGCCAGGTGTGAGCGAGTTCTCCATGTGGGAGTACATGGGTTCTCCAGGTAGAAGTATGTTCTCTTGGTGGGAGTATGGGAATCTTCTTGAACAGTACAGGGAGGGAAGGGACCCCCCCCCACTCAGCTTCCGAACCTCATTTTACCTATTTCCGGCCGTGCATGTCCCCAGAGGGCTTCTGAACCTCCCACAAACAGTCTTCCGGGAAGGATCTTCCAGTTACAATCGTCAATTTCTAGACAATTTCAGATGCTGAACAGCCCGAGATCCAGGGGCGTACGAGGGGGGGGGGGCGAGCCCCCCGCCCTCCCCTCCTACGCGTGCCCCCTCATCTGAGGGGGGGACTCATGGGGGGTGAGTTCCTTTGATATTACATCTTCCCCAGGCAATCTACAATTTGTATTGCATTGCATTGCACTCAACCAGAATAAAAGATTAAGGAAAGTTAAAATATATTCTGATTCACAACAATACCCTTCAAAGCTTTGTCTGATCAAGTATTGCATTAAAAATCCATGTTTCCCATTTTGAAAACTGAATGTTTTTATCTGTGGTTTCCATACAAAAGTGACTCGCGCATTTCTTGCTTCAGAAACGATGGAGAAATGAAGGTTTCAAAGGTACATCGGACATGACACTCTAAAAATGGAGGGTCACTTGAAATTACGCATGTATTCCATTTAAGTATAATTACATCGTATAGAAAAAAATGCTTTAAAATCACACTTTTGAGTTTTGTCCTTAACTAAAAAAGTTTCAATTAAAAAAGCTTTATTCAATACTGCCTGCAGTGTAAATATATATTTGATATCATAATTTATTATACAATATGTATCAATCCTATGAAAATATAGATATTTTTTAGAAACGTTTCCATCTATATTTTTCATCCCTTGAAGCTTACACCACAGTATTAAGAGG